AAGCTTGAAGGAGAGATTCTCGTGCAGGGCGTGTGGTTTTGTTGTTTTAACGCAGCAGTCAGTGACACAGAACCTATGACACTGATAAGGCGGCAGGCCAGGAATTGAAACAAATAGCAACATTTCTCTGGATGAGCCGTAGCTCTGATTTTCCGAATTCATCATTGCATATATGATGATTATTTTACGTTCTAAATCAATTTGAATATTTTTCCCGTTTCTTTCATCATTTATTGTAAAGTTCACACAATTGTTGAAATATACAGTATATTTGTGTTCGGGCTACTACTTCTGACAGTAAATTTTACAGGAGTTATGGCACGTTACGAAACGACCTTATGACTGAGTTGTTGCCCGGAGTCTTTTAGCGACCGTCTCCATGGCGATCCGACATTTGTAGCAAAGAAAGAGCTATCTGATTGACAGGTTATAGGCAGCACCCGGGAACCTTGAAATGGACAACATGGTGATCTCTGGCGAGCAATTCCCGTAGTGACTGTCTTGTTAATGAGACAACGAAAGTTTTTTTTGTTTAAAATATTGTGAATGAGTGAGTGAATTTAGTTTTACGCCACACTCATCAATATTCCTGCTATATGGCAGCGGTCTGTAAATATTCGAGACTGAACCAGACAATCCAGTGATCAACAGCATGAGTATCGATCTGCGCAATTGGGAACCGATAAGTCCACCCTGGTAGTGTTCTGTGAATATTCAATGATACAACCAAGGTTTAAGGCGTTGTGGGTAGTTTAGCCAATGAATTAAACAATAATTATGCTTAAAATGCAGTTTGGTGAATGCTTATGCTGTTGATCACTGGATTGTCTGGTCAAGACTCGGTTATTTACAGACTGCCGCCACCTAGCTGGAATATTGTTGATTGCGGCGTGTTGAACAACACACCCACCAACCGAATGAACTGCCTGAAGTGCGTCCCCAATCCTACAAAGTCACAACAGTGAACCATGTCATCATCAGATACAATAGGGGCGGTGGGGTAGCCTAGTGGTTAAAGCGTTGGCTCGTCACGCCGAAGACCCGGGTTCGAATCCCCACTTGGGTACAATGTGTGAAGCCCATTTCTGGTGTCCCCCCGCCGTGATGTTGCTGGAATATTGCTAAAAGCGGCGTAAAACCAAACTCAGTCAGTCAGTCAGATACAATAAGCCAGAAGTAACTTCATTCACACAGTACATTGCCTTCATGTATTCGTGAGGCCTGCATTCTACCAGTGAAACAACATATTTACAGATTTACGGGTATGAATGCAAGCCGATTATTAGTTGACATTGGTAAATATTCTTACTGGTCTTCCACTTTTGGGTTTTGACTATGATGATCAATATTAATGTGGTTATGTTGATGTACTCCGTGTCCTCTCTTGTTGGAGCTCTGTTAACGAGGACACAAATTTGACCCCGTTCTAAAGCTCTTTTCCGATTTTCAGAACAATGTGTAACTATTGAGTCTACCTGCAAAGATAGCCAGTGCCTCGACTTACTTGATTTATTACTGAAAATATAGCGAGTCCACATGTGTTAACATGGGTTAGCGGGTGTTGGTGAGCATTCTGGTGGTCGGGGATGTGCGAGTCCCTGAGTGAAAAAAGAGAAGCATTATTTGCCTGGACTGCGGCCTGCTGTCGGTGTGCTTCAACACCCGGCGTGGCTTGCAGTGGGTGAAAGTTACTCCAATCACTACAACCTGCTAAACATTGTGTGCATTGTAAACAAATCTTGAAACTGTCTTGAAAAATGTCTGTATATTGGTGATATTGTGTGTCATCGTATCCCAATTAGACCGATTTTCATGCTGTTGATCCCTGGATTTTCTGGTGCAGATCCGATTATTTACAGACCGCTGCCATACAGCTGGAATATTGCTGAGTGCGGCGTAAAACTAAACTCGCTCATTCACTCCTTTGAAAAAAAAGGCGCGCACACACAGCGGAGATGGTTGCATTCAACATCACTCGGCCATTCAAAGTGCAGTTTGGATAAAAAAGTATAACCTTACAGAAATAGTATTTACGATGTAGCGCCTGTACATGTGTTACACATGTTTGATTGTCTGTATACCTGTATATAATATTCAACATTAACCTGTTAAGTCCCTGTCAAAGTAGAGAAATATGAATCATCTCTAAATAATTGAAATGGCACTGTTCAATCATAACATAACATATTCTACATGATGTGATTTCAGTACATCATGAATTCATTTGTCATCCAGACCGCCTTGGTCAGTGGGTCTGCCTGGAGAGAAAATGTCATCGGTTCGACCCTTGGCAGCGTTAGAAGAAGGCACTTATTGTTACCCTTCCTGCTGCTGCAACAGGGTGTAAAGCGAGAACTATCCGTCTCGGAGTCAGCACAGTATATCTTAGTATATCAGATATCCATGGTATACTCAGGCCAGTATATATGTACATATTCCCCACTCGTCAGTGCCTGCGAGACTATATCCATTTCTACAATGAAACCTGTCTAAACCGGCACCCCACGGGACCGAAATGATAATGTATTTTCACTAGACTTGGATAGATAGGCCAGTGCATGTACCTGTATCAAAATGTATAAATGCAAGTTCATTTTTAGATGTAGAAGGGGTGTTGCTTATCAACACTGTTATGATCCTGCGCAGGTTAATCACTAAAACTGATTCCAGATATACCAATTAGCCATTATCATACGATTTTAATGAGTTCCATTATTACACAGTTGCTTTTGTTCATTGAAACTCACGGATATTCTGGTGCATTTTGTGAGTTTTGGAAGGGATGTGTAATAGCGTTTACCGAATTAACTGCAACAATCAAGAAATAATTTGTGAGTGACCGCATGGAGATGAATTTACCCCAATTTAATGTCACCATGAAACTGTAACAGGTGACATTCTTCAAAATTGCAAATCGACTTGATGTTCTTAGCCGCCCTTAGCCGCAACAGCCACAGGGGCCTGTCGCGCTTAAAAACAGCGTTAAAAAGACATATAGGTATATAGACCCTACCCTAGTACTATATAAAAGGAAAGACATATAGGTATGTAGACCCTACCCTAGTACTATATAAAAGGAAAGACATATAGGTATATAGACCCTACCCTAGTACTATATAAAAGGAAAGACATATAGGTATATAGACCCTACCCTAGTACTATATAAAAGGAAAGACATATAGGTATATAGACCCTACCCTAGTACTATATAAAAGGAAAGACATATATGTATATAGACCCTACCCTAGTACTATATAAAAGGAAAGACATATAGGTATATAGACCCTACCCTAGTACTATATAAAAGGATCTCCTTTATATAGTACTAGGGTAGGGTTTATACACCTATATGTCTTTTTGACGCTGTTTTTAAGCGCGACACGCCCCTGTGGCAACAGCAATGTCCCTGACAGGTTTGTCTCGACCAGGCACGCTGGCACTGCAGCGGGTGTGAGCGCCATGTGCATTTTATGACGGGCGAACCACAAAATCATCAACGCCAGCAGACATGCCACTTCTGTTAATATCGGGTTCCAAGGGCCGACCTGATAAAAAGACATATTTTTATGCCCAACTTTGTAAGATCATATGCAAGATCAACAACAAAAATCGTACTCTTGACGCGCTGAATGTTAAGACATCATGAGAAAAAAAACACACTGTTTGGCGTGTTTTTACAAACGTCTTGAAGGGGTGCCTGATGGACGATGATACACTGCCACCCCTATCAGCACACCCGTGTCCCTCCCCATACTGTCCACCCAAAGCACAGGCAGTATACCGACAGCCCTGTTATACTTATAAAGACACTATCTTCAATAGTACAAAATTGTTTTCGCCAGGTGCACAGCAGTTACCTGACCCATCGTGTCCTGCCCTTTGAGTACGATGTTTTAGCATGATTAATAAACACCATAAGGAGCCCGATGCAAACAGAAAACACGTGGAATGTTTGTGTATGTATACTAAACATGTCCATTCAGGGGTCGTGATTTCATAAAAAAATAAAAAATATTATTATTATTTTTTTGGGGGTGTGTGTGTGTGTGGTTTTTTGGAAGCAAAGACAGGTTAAAATACTGCTGAAATACACCTACCAAAGCCTGTAAGATTTCTTCTATAAAACTTGTTAAGATTTCTGATGAAATTCTCCATAAGAAATTTAAGAATCTGTGAAAACAAAAAGTTTCATTTTCCGTTTAGAGTCAAAAGGTTTCAAGTTCAAATATGATGTGATCGACACCGCCATCACAAGTCACGTGACATCCAACATAAATCTCTGTAAATATAATGCCGAACACATATAATATACTAGTGTTATGGTATTTTAAAATAAAATGTGTTGCAACATTGATTCATTCATTACATAAAAAAATAACTTAGGGTATCACTGCAAATCCAAAAACAGTGGGTGGAACGGACGTTTTTTGATTGAAAACTGTTCTTAAAATTTGCTGGATTTCAGGCCAAGCTGAGATTTGACTTGCTGCCATCGTTAGCGAGTTACTGACAAGTTACAATAAGTGAGGACAAAGGTAATGACGTCATGTTTTCAACTCTGACGTCATCAACTTCAGGCCGTCTGCGAAATACACAGATCATGAAGATGCACAATGATTTGGACCAAACTGGTCTTCTTGTGCGTGTGGCGCAATGAACTTTTGGTACCAGTTTAATAAACTCCGTACATCGATGTACCGTTCCCTATAAGTCCAATGCTATATTCTACTATGGTAGCACGCGATGTAAGGAATGTTTTTTCCGAATTTGAGGAAAAACAGTACAACACTCTGAAAAAACACATTTTAAGGTGATTCAGACATTATCTAACTACATAAAAAAATATCCCAAAAAATGTAGGGGAACATAGCTTGCACCCACAACTAAATTCTTCCCTTAAAAAGATTACTGACAGAATAGAGACATGGACAAAAATGACTATTTTTTGCTCTGTTGGGCGTTTGTCGTCAAACACGACCTTGAACTTTCTTGAGTAGAAAATGGCGGTCGCGAAGTCCAGTTCAGAAAAGATCGCGATGGTTTTTGCAGTTTTGTATGCAAAATATGATGTGTCATGGGGTAACCTATCCACGAGTGGATACATAAGGTAGTATCTTGGCTATGTACACCTTTACCGCTTGTTTGCATGCTTGTGTAGATTAGATTAATTGTAAATACGGATCTAGCATTGTTACTTGCATTCGACTGCACCAACGGGCACTGTTGCAAAGTGTTGGGTGCGGCCGAGGCAAAACATGGTGTCAGTCCTCCTTCCATCGGGAAATAAGAGAGCAGGGTTTGTTAACACCGTGAAACACTACATGTGAACCGGCAGAATTCTTTTATCGCCCATTCATCGTAAGTGGATCCAGTGATAAGTGTGGTTGGTTTGACCGTTTCCAGGCACGAAAGACATCGAAACTGCAATTCGGGAGATCTGCCAGCCCAACATGCAGGTCTCAAGTTAGTTGTATGGTTTAAATGGTGAGCACATTATTGTAATCCATTAACTGTCATTTGTACTTGAATTTGAATGTATCCAGCCGCTGACTTGGCATGCTATTATCATGTTTTGACAACAGTCTGTGTCTTAGAAAAGTTTATATGAAATTTAAAAAAAAAACTCTTTTCTGAAACCAAAGGACAGAGCAAGCAGCCACAATGGTAGCCCAGATTTGATATGTAGATACATGGATGTTGAATGAAAAAACGAGTCACTTCAGAAAACGGTCTGAATTTTTGTAGCAAATCCATAGACCAGGAACATGACAATGACTTCATTGTACAATGGGACTTATACTTGCTAAATGTTTTTGAAGATAGATTATTTTTTGGATTTGATTATATATCATACTTTCACTTACATTAAATTACTGTTTTGACATGACCAAGGAACCACAGAGCAAAGGAAGCTGCAGTGTTACTGATGTGAAGACACACAGTGGAACTCAAAACTGTCCATACCAGTAAGGTAAGTATAAGTTATATTTGTTATTGTAATAAACATATGAAATACATTTTTTGTCTTCTGGACATTTTGAAAGTATTTCAAAATCTGTTTCTCTCATCTGAAAAGATAAACATTAAGTGATGTGAAGACACACATTTTGACTTAAAGATTTGTGAAGATATGAGTTAGAATAGATCTTCAGCTACCCCTGCTTGTTGTATGAGGAGACTTACAGAATTGGGACTTCAGGCTTGTTGAGATTTGTTTACATGTGTCATTGTATCCCTGTTGTGTTGAGTGATGCTCATGATGTCGTTCACTGGACTGTGCTCCAGACATATATAAAAAACAAATCAGTTTTGCAATTTTTATAATTAAGAGAGGTCATGATAACATTTTATGGTTTGCTGGTGTGGTATTTTAACTAGGGACTCTCTATATCTTTAATGTTGCTCTCATGTTTGTCACTGGTCTTAAATGATTGTTCTTTTCAAAGTTTAAAGTTTAGTTAGTATTACATTCAGGAAGCATACAACTTCATGGATAACAACTTCTTGCTTATTGAATGTTTCTTTATGTTTTTATGTAGATTTACTTTAGCTTGACAAGAGTGTAAGAATCTAAATCAAGACATCAGTCTATGCTGTAAACAAGAATTTGTTATCCATAAACTCATATGCTTTGCTATATACTCACTTTGTTATATACTCAAGAATTCTGATCAAACAATGAATCTTTGCCATCTGCAGTGTCCCAGCTATGTGACAGTGACATGTAGACAATAAAGTCTGGACCAAACAATCCAGTGATTGATATTGCTATTGATTCACACCATTGGATACATTGACCTGACCATCCAGTAGGGGTGAAACGGTATACTGCTGTATTAGTAGAACCGCGGTATTTTGCCTTTGGTTCAGTATACCGTAATGCAATCCCAAAATTTGGTGTTTTCGTACCGTCATTTTATTAATCATTTTAGACCTTTCCTAAAATGTCTAGCAGTCAAATCATTTGGTCAAAATCTATGCATTTCTTTGTTTGACGGACGCTATTTTCCTGGAAGTAAGTTCGAGATCGCCTCAGGTTGTCTACTTACAAAGTCAGCAAGACAGCAACTGCAGATACCAGATCAGTAGCTGGGTTTTGTTTCTTTTTCAGTTTTTCAGGTTTCCAAGACCCGCGTTATTGACTTATTGAATTAAGAAAGGAACTAGTATAGCATTATAATAGTTCAGGGCGAAAGTGTGCTTTATTACACTATACATGGTGGTACAGCAAACTGTATTTCTTTTCTAAGATGCCAAATTTATTACTTTCTAAGAATAATTACGATTAATCTAAGGCAGAAAACAAACGAAGGTGTCGGTGACCTAAATTAAGAATCCTCGCACAGGGCTTACTGGCATGCTGTTCTATTGATGTGTCTGGCCCCCTACGTTAAGACGAACGTTACCAGAAAAAGAAATGATAAACAGTTTGATGACGGTTTACGTTCGGATTAAATATCTTTTTTAAATTATTTTAATTACATCTGTGATTAACGTAAACCATATGGGGCAATATGAAAGTCCATTTCTACTACCAACGTAAGTTTAGATCAGTACATCCAGATGAAGCTGAGTAGTCAAGCGACATTCCACGATTGCATTGTGGGAATGTAAACATTGTGAACATTAACATGTCGCTGAAAACTAACGAGTCAAATTGAGACATTTTAACCGTTGGAAAACATAAGCGTAGTGTTTTCACCAGTGATGTTAGCTGCGCGGAAGCAACTGCAAACCAAGAAAGCGGGATGCAACGGAGTAATTTACTGTAGGAGGCTGTGCGAGGCGATGACAACTGACATGCATCGTGGCACGCCACGTTGTGACGTCATGCAAAATTGTTCGACACGAGGTGGCAGACTAGAATGGCACAGCTACGCCAATACATTGTGATGTAATGCAAAAGTGCACATTATCGTCTGATAAAGTATCACCTTTCACTGAAGCATCTTAGAAGTCATATTTCACAATTAATTGTAAACATTTTGTTTTTACAATCAAAGTGGTAGGAACCGCGGGAAGTCAAACTGTCTCCTACGTAAAATGTATCCAGCCACCTAACCCACAGTGCTGAACCTACTGGCAGTATGTTAATTATTAGGGTATGTTAAATATTTCGTAGAAAAACATGCATAGTACTAATACCATATCACGATATATGTTATCTCTGTTACAATAACTGCTTGAGGTTATACTACACTAAATGAGAATCGCTTGCTCGCTGAGCGAGAACCGTATGTAAACAAATGAAGAGATAGAGACATATGACAGCTGTGATTGGATGAAATACCGTAAGATGTTTATGTTTTTTAAAAGCATATCCAACCAGTAATTAAAACTGACCACAATTTTAAGTATTCAGTGCTGTGATTTTCATCACCATGACTTATGCTTATTGTGTGTACAGATATTTTCCAGTAGGTGACATTTGGTGCGGATCTGGGGTTGATGTGTTCCGCTTCCTGTGCTCGCAAAACAAGCCGGACAAGTTGGCCAGATATTGTGTTTTATTGTAGTTTAAAGGCAAGAGTGTACCCATGTGTACATGGAATGGCTGTTGATAACCTGGACAGTTTTGCCATGGAAACATTTTGGGACAAATGTAGAGGGAATTTTGAAAGGAAAATGGGTGACCCAAGTGGTAAATTTGGTTGCAGGGAGTGGTTGGGCAGCCGAGATAAGCAGGGCTATGGGCGGTGTTTCTTTTCGTGGCCGTCCAAGGCAGGGACCGAACAAAAAAGCCCACAGAATAGCCCTATGCATTGCAAATAAATGTTTACCAGATGATTTGGTTAAAACTGACAGTTCTGGCAAAACAATTGAAGTGAGCCATCTCTCACAACACTTCTTTTGTAAACACTGACCATTTGACTGTCGAGACCCACGAACACAATATGGAAAGAATTCACTGTCGACAACAGGGCTTGTGCACCAAGAGTCATAAACCCTACTGTTTAATGTAAGCATATACATTATGTTGTTAGGTCTTTCTGTTTGGGGCCAGTTTTGTGTATGGATGATCCTCTCTTTGGTGTTGATGTCTCAAATATGCAGTATTTCTTTTCAATAACATGTCTTTTGAATATTGTTGATTTCTTGTATGTTTTAGCTTTAAGTACTTTATTGTGGCTTTTGCTGATTTCATTATCAATTTTACTTTTTGCAGTGACAGCACACCCGAGCCCATGTCTCAGCGTCAAGAGTGATTTTGCTGGACTTTTAAAGTTCACACTATGCACAGCACTGTGAGCTCTGCCTTGGAAGTTCCGAGTAAAGGTTGTATCACGAGGTAATGACCTGCGCAGTGCCTTGTTTGTAGCTTCACACTTTTGACTGTTCAGGTTGAATTGGGTCTTGTCTATTATTTTAGGGCCGAGACGAAAGTCAGTGCATTTTTTCAAATTTTGAAAATGAATTTCATTGTGAGTAATTTTGAAGTTTTTATTCAAATATTTACTGTGTAATAACCAATTTTGCTTCCCCCCCTTGCACACAAGTGACTGCTTTCTGCATTTAGTGTGATCTCCCATGTAACAGTAAGCACAGCATCAGAGGTATGACAGAGATTTCTTCAACCTTGGCAAGTCACCTGCATGACTTGAGTAAGCAGCTGAAAACTCAGCTGCACATCTGGATGCACAGTCTAAAGAAAATGTATTTGCCAAATTCTGTTTAGCTTGTTTAGTTCTAGCAGGCATCATGTCCACAACAAATTTAGAATTTTTTATGAATTTTCTTTGACTGGCTGAAAGGTGCCTTGTATCGAAAGTTTATGGACAAACATCCATCTCCCCTGCTTCATACATTTCAGTGAGAGCTGTGTAAGCTGCACTATCAGCATCTGTTGTCAAAAATTCTACATCAATTTGGTGTTTCTTTAAGTCCCTGAAACACTCTGCAGCTAACTGTTTTTCATTCCCTATTGATTCTGACATGTGCAAATCAGCAGTGCAGTCTGGATTGTTTACACAAGAAATGTTGTCAACTAAACTGTGCTTTGAACAAAGTTTTGATTTTGTTTGTAGAGCTAATATTTGGTGGTCACAAGTCTCATTCTCAGTGGCTACATAGGTAACTTGAGTGGCTGGCTGAAAAGGGGTTTTCCCAACACCTGAACAAAGTGGGTTGTTGTACATGCCATCTGTAGACATGCTGACAATATTTAAATTTGTTCCCCTGTATTTATTTATTTCCCTCATTTCCACCCTCCTGGCCCTCATATCCTTCTCATTTTGATGTTTAATATTATCACAAACTCTGTTTGCAGCTTTCTGCATGCCTGAACTGGATGGGGGTGGAATATCTGCACTCATGCAGAGGACACGGAAACTCTCACTCCCCATGGGACATTTCGACAGGCCTATCTGGAGTCCAGTGTTCGCAGTGGAGGAGCGACGTCCCTTCTTCGCCGGAGCTACCTCTACCTCCTTGTAGAGCTTATGATGCTTAGACAGGTAGGCACAGTTGGTACATTTCAGTCTCTCTGTCCAGTTGAGGCCCCACTGCTGTTCATGCTCCATATCCATAACCAGGTCCCCCTTACAGTTTGTCGATGTCGATGGCGTGGCATGCTCACGAAATGCCTCATTGAACAGTGAATATGACATGAATAAGTAGATTATAGTCATCTTACCTGTCTTTTTTTGTTTTCAGTGAACAATCATCCTCCTGAGGGGTGTTTCTCATCCTCGGCCTTAACAGGCGGTATGGCAGACTGGTGAGTGTTTGTACTGGCTGGACTCCAGTCACCCCTGCACTGGTCACTTTCTTATGTAGCTCAGGGGTCAACCTGACAGTCTGGGGCACTTTAAATCTACTTTGCTTTTCCCTGGGTTGTTTTTCACCAAAGTTCCAAGGCTTATTTCCCTTTTTGAAACAATTTTTCGAACACTTTCGGTGTGGTGCCATGTTTCCAGAGTATGTCCAAGATGCTAACTCTATGAATTTTTCAGTGGAATGAAGGCATTAACATTGGATCTTGCCCTCCCATAGTTAAAATACCAAATATGGACCTGTCAGTTAGATGTAAACAGTGCAGGGGTAGCAGTTCCAGTCAACTGACACTGTCCAGCCTCTTCTAACACTTAATCTAATTAGTGTCACAACCAAATTCCATGAGATGTATCAGATTCTGCTATCACTAGTTGCTATCACCACATTACTCCAAACAATTCACCATCATTTAAATTGAAATATGAAGTCTATTTTGTTTTGACTTTATCAGTATTGCAAATTTTACAGGGTCGAAAAGATATTTTAGGGGTGACATGTTTGAAGCATCATCTGTGAACCATGGAATTGACCTGTGAACCCCTCCTTTTGGGAAACAAGAATAAACAATAGAGGCCTGTGTATGGTCATAGAAAGTTCTTTATTAATACAGAAGTACATGTTGCAATAAGCTGCCAAAACCATAGTAATTTAACTCTTAACAGCTTTTATGATGTATCAGATCTCTGCATATAGGTGTCATACAGACATGGCAGTGAGCACAAAGTATAGCACTTGAACCAATTTTCATTTGTTTCTAAGGAGCTACATATATTTACAATAAATAAATCACAGATTTGCCTAGTGCAGATGCAGACCTTTGTTTCTACAGGTTATACTACACTAAATGAGAATCGCTTGCTCGCTGAGTGAGATCCGTATGTAAACAAATGAAGAGATAGAGACATATGACAGCTGTGATTGGATGAAATACTAGTAGTTTAAGATGTTTATATTTTTTAAAAGCATATCCAACCAGTAATCAAAACTGACCACAATTTTAAGTATTCAGTGCTGTGATTTTCATCACCATGACTTATGCTTATTGTGTGTACAGATATTTTCCAGTAGGTGACATTTGGTGCGGAACTGGGGTTGATGTGTTCCGCTTCCTGTGCTCGCAAAACAAGCCGGACAAGTTGGCCAGATATTGTGTTTTATTGTAGTTTAAAGGCCAGAGTGTACCCATGTGTACATGGAATTGCTGTTGATAGCCTGGATAGTTTTAAAAAAAATATAAGGCTACTATAGAAGTCTATGGGAAAACATTTGGTGTTGTGTAACCTTGAGATATAAATATTCTAGTAATGGAATAGAAATTCTTTGATGTTATATTTTCAGATCGTTTTTAACTGAATCACCTGCATATTGTAGCTAAAATTACTAATACTCAGCTGATTGTTATTCCCAGCTTACTTGAATAACAGGTAGCATAACAGGAACGACAACTGAATTATCATGTCTAGTGGTTTTTTTTGATTGCAGGTTTCCTATACACATATTTATGTTCATTTAAAAAGTTTGTTTTTTCACCTCCAACCATACGATATAGTTTTGACTTGGCACAATACATGAAATAGGAGTTCTGTTATATTCACAGAAATTACAATTTTACTTGGCCTTTATTCCGGGGTAATGTATAACGCAGGTGTCTCATAACTTGCAGGGGGTCCCTCCATGGACCCCAAGACTGGCGTTATAGCGAGGGATGACTGTAATTATGGGTATGGATTTGTGGCTTTCCAATCACAGTTCTGAAGTATTATGTTTGTTTGTTGTTGCTACCATCTCATTACAAGCTATATCAGAACAATGAACATTGAACGACCAATGACAAGAGAAAGCAGGATTCTCAAGCTAAGCATATTTCTTTCAGGAAGGAGAAATATATTTCTCAGTGAACTTTAAAAGATATTTTGAATGAATCTGAAAACTGAATAAAACAAAATTCTAGAGTGTGCCAAGATTGTGTAGCAATACTTCCCAAGGGCTTTGGAAAGTATCTGAATGTTTAACCGACTGAAACGAGAGATAGACAATAATTTAGAGCGAAGACAATGATAAGTCACACAGACTGTAACTGTCTGATGACAACTGGGTTGTGCTCATTTGTTTAATTTATTTATTATCCCCCGCAACGCGTTTTGAGGGGGGTATTAAAATGGACTCCGTCCGTGCGTGCGTCTGTCTGTCCGTCCGTCCGTCCGTGCACATTTGTCTTTTCCGGAGCAGAACTCTAAAACCATTCCCTATTTCTTCACCAAACTTGGCACATACATAGATCCGGTGGTGTACTGGTGCCCTTTGGTAGTTTTGGAATTCTGAATAAAATATTTTGGGCGTTTCCATGGCAACAAGTTTGACTTAGACTGACATTGGTGGTTGTGTTCTTTTCCGGAGCAGAAATCTAAAACCGTTCACTATTTCTTCACCAAACTTGGCACATAGATTGGTATGGCGGTGTACTGGTGCCTTTTGGTAGTTTTGGAATTCTGAATAAAATATTTTTGGTGTTTCCATGGCAACAAGTTTGACTGAGACTGAAATTGGTGATAGTGCTCCTTTCAATGCTCTCTTTCCACTTTTCTATATACACACCTAAATATTTGACATAGTCATAACTCGTAGACATAATCATGAAGAGTATTTTGCCATTGAGGGGGATATTGATGACTTTGTCTTCTTGTCTATGATATGTCTTCAACAGACTCACATTCGACAAGATCTGATTTGTCTGTTGTTTTGTGTGGTTATTTTAACATAACATTTCTGGGACGTGGTGATTTCACTGCAGAAAAAGCTGTGATGTTAGTGACTTTTATTCATACTTGGCTACTTGCTATTTTTCCGCACAGCTGTGAGCTTCAAGGTTCCAGTGATACTTGTCATGAAATAACAGCTTTGTTCATTCAAAAGAACAAAGATTATGGTTATTTTTTCCATCTCATATACCGAACCGAAACGGACCGAACCTAAGACCTTGTACCTCAATACGTACCTTAACGTGGTAAGAGCGTACTGTTTCACCTCCACCATCCAGTCCACTGGGTACAATGACCTGACCATCCTTTCCCCCACTGGGTACAATGCTGCCCATACAGATCACTGTTGAGGTACACTGACCTGACCATCCAGTCCACTATAGGGTACAATGACCTGACCATCCAGTCCACCATTGGGTACAATGATTTGACCATTCAATACTCCATTGGGTACAATGACCTGACCATCCAGTCCACCATAGGGTACAGTGACCTGACCATCTAGTCCACCATAGGGTACAATGATTTGACCATTCAATACTCCATTGGGTACAATGACCTGACCATCAAGTCCACTGGCTAGAGTGACCTGACCATCTAGTCCACCATTCGGTACAATGACCTGACCATCCAGTCCATTGGGTACAATGACCTGACAATCCAGTCCACCATAAGGTACAATGACCTGACCATCCAGTCCACTATTGGGTACAATGACCTGACCATCCAGTCCACTGGGTAGAATGATCTGACCATCCAGTCCACCATTGGGTACAATGACCTGACCATCCAGTCCACTGAGTAAAGTGACCTGACCATCCAGCCCACTGGGTACAATGAGCTGACCATCCAGTCCACCATAAGGTACAATGACCTGACCATCCAGTCTATTGGGTACAATGACTTGACCATCAAATCCACTGGCTACAGTGACCTGACCATCTAGTCCACTATTGAGTACAATGAGCTGACCATCCAGTCCACCACTGGGTACACTGACCTGACCATCCAGTCCACCATTGGGTACAATGACCTGACCATCCAGTCCACTATTGGGTACAATGATCTCACCATCCAGTCCACTGGGTACCGTGCCCTGACCATCAAGTCCACCATTAGGTAATGACCTGACCATCCAGTTCATCATTTGGTACAATGACCTGACCATCTAGTACACCATTGGGAACAATGACCTGACCATCCAGTTAATCATTGGGTACAGTGACCTGGCCATCGAGTCCACTGGGTACAATGACCTGACCATCCAGTCCGCAGTCGGGTACAATGACCTGACCATCTAGTCCACCATTCGGTACAATGACCTGACCAACCAGTCCGTTGGGTACAATGACCTGACCATCCAGTCCACTATAAGGTACAATGACCTGACCATCCAGTCCACCATAGGGTACAATGACCCCACCATCAAATCCACTGGCTACAGTGACCTGACCATCTAGTCCACCATTGAGTACAATGAGCTGACCATCCAGTCCACCATTGGATACAATGACCTGACCATTCAGTCCACTATTGGGTACAATGACCTGACCATCCAGTCAACTGGGTACTGTGCCCTGACCATCCAGTCCACCATTGGGTACAATGACCTGACCATCCAGTCCACTGAGTAAAGTGACCTGACCATCCAGTCCACTGGGTACAATGACCTGACCATCCAGTCCACCATTAGGTAATGACCTGACCATCCAGTTCATCATTTGGTACAATGACCTGACCATCCAGTCCGCAATCGGGTACAATGACCTGACCATCTTGTCCACCATTGGGTACAATGATCTGACCATCCAGTCCACTGGGTACAATGATCTGACCATCCAGTCCAATGGGTACAATGACCTGACCATCCAGTCCACTGGGTACAGTGACCTGACCATCCAGTCCACTGGGTACAATGACCTGACCATCCAGTCCACCATTGGGTACTATGACCTGACCATCCAGTCCGCTATCGGGTACAATGACCTGACCATCTGGTCCACCACTGGGTACAATGACCTGACCATCCAGTCCACTGGGTACAATGACCTGACCATCCAGTCCACCATTGGGTACTATGACCTGACCATCCAGTCCGCAATCGGGTACAATGACCTGACCATCTTGTCCACCATTGGGTACAATGATCTGACCATCCAGTCCACTGGGTACAATGATCTGACCA